ATGGTAACCCTTGTCGGCCTAGCCAGTCTGCAGATTACATAGAGTAGGCTGTCGCCACGAAATTACAGACTCAAGTATTGAAGCGCGTGGAGCGGCGCCGCAGCAAGCGGAACTGGCAGTTCTTGAACGCTGAAGCAGCGATCATGGTGCCGAAAGTCTCGAACGGAAACTGTCCTGATCCTGTCCGGATCGCTCATCCTGGATAAGCACTCTGGCTCAACAAGCCCTTTCATCCAGGATACGCCAAGCTGTCACACTGCAAAGCCTTGACCCCACGATGATGGCTCAACAAACCTTGCTGCGGAACACATGTGGCAATACTAACCCTATTCAGTACATGCTTGGTGCGCCACATGCAAAACAACTACTGAACTTACTTTCACGCCAGCTCAACATCCAGATTCGCTTTCATTCATGTGGTCAAGGCCTCGCCAAACAAGTTGCGCCTTCAAACAACGGAAAGCCCGCATTAAATGGCGCTGGAAACAATTCATGACCGTGTCCCGGCACCTTACCAGTCGGAGAGGTGAGCTCAGGGCTTAGGCTTAGGGCTTAGGATTTTGGACCTACATTCTGTGCAAGAAAGAGACATTGGTCCGCACCTGTTTGTTGCACAACAAGCGACAGGCACTGTTGTAGATCGATCCCATAGCGCACGTTCTACCGAAAACTCAGATGCACTTTGAAGGAGCTTTGGGGGGTGCTTCAATTCTATGGATGCCAAAGATGAGAAAGCTGCCTCTCCGACCGTTTACGTCGAGGTACTTTTTCAGCGCTCGCTCAAGAATGAGGGGGCTGCCGCTGTTTCAGTGCTCATGAATCCCGTTTGGTCACACCATGAGAACACTTCGTAAGGGTGCGCAAAGATCTTGCTCTTGAACAGTCTTGTGACACTGCCGAACCTGGAACTGAGCAGACGATGAGGAAAACGCAGCCGGAAGACAGAGCTTTGAAGACTTCGGCAAGGTTCAGCAGAAATGTAGAAGCTTAATCGGGGCTAAGTGCAAGCACGCGCCGCGAAGCTAATTAATGGCTTTGATTGGTTTTGTGTATGTGCGTGTCAGAAACAGGGAACGGCATGCACGCACACACACACACACACTCACAATCACAATCACAATCACAATCACCATCACACACTCACACACACACACACACACACACACACACACACACACACGAGAACGAACGAAAACATGAAGGGATTCTTCTATGGGGTAGGATCCTGCCTCGCATGCCCCCTGTTTTTAATTAAAAACAGGGAGCAGCACAGAATGAAGGGTGAAAAATGAATGCCTCCCCAGCCCCCGGGGTTGGGGGTCCATGAAAAACCGGCCCCAGGGAGGGATGAAAATTTTGCCACTCCTGGGCCCCGGAAAGCACCGGTCCCAAACCCCGCGCCGTACCGGAGATGAGCCCGGTGACATGTCTGCGAACGCAATCGGTCAAGCACAGGTCCTATCGCAGATGAACCCGCTCGAGGAAGATCGAGCCGGCAGAAGGCCGATTCAGGGTGGTTCTCAGGTTCTCCGAACCCTGGGATCTGGTACACACGTTGATTTGTCTCGAACGGGTGCGCTGGACATTCGACAGGACAGACCGTTATAATAGCTACGGCTGTATGCATGCGCGTGTGTGTCGGACACCGGGAATGAAAAACACGAAAACATGAAGGATCATTTTGTCTGGGCTTATGGGGTTGGACCACGCCCCGCATGCCAAACCACTAGAACGGCATCACATGACATGGGCGAAGAATGCTCCAGCTGGCTGGCTCGGGAGCGGGCAAAAGCAGGCATGAGCCCAGGGGAGTGCACCGGTCCTTTTCAAAGTACCGCATGTCATGTGGGCACAACAGGTTGCGCATGCGTGCACACAGCGGCGTCATTTGCATTGTGGCCAGCCAGGTGGCCCCCACGATGATTTTCGAGAACGGGCCAAGGCGTTCTGAGTGGCTGGATTGGCTGTCGAAGCTGCATCGGACTTGCGCATTGTCTACTTGTGATTCAAGGAACTATTCATGCCAAAACATGTTGCTGGTACCAGCACTTTCTTGAGCCATGCAGTACACACATAGAGTCGGTGCATCGTGGAGAAGAACCTTGGATCAGAATCACCGGCAGTCCCTCATACTGAGCCAGCTGGGCTCTGCTCGGTAGAGCTAGCTCCCACGCAGTAACTTTGCCGATTGCCAGGTTCACTTCTCCGTGAACAGATGTCCGTTGCACATCAATCACGGATTGAAGATGGACCGAGCTTCTGGCCAAATTCAGGGACCTAAAGAATTCGGGATCCTGCATCCGATCCAGGAATTTGTGAGGCTAAGGCTGTGGCACTTCCGTGCTAGCAAGCCTGAGGCCTTTCCTATGTCATGGCACCACACATTGGGAGCCTAGGGGCTCTCTGCTCATCTTCTGCATTCACCGCCCCCAACGCCCAAGCCCACAGCCTCAGCACAACTGAGCCGAACGCTCTTCTGGAAAAGGATCGCTCCCATCAAAACATCCCGACAGCTTTTTAACGTTGTTCAACTACGTGCCTTAAACCTCAGTCGGATGTAAGCACCATCCTTTTCCCCTGCAAGGTGCTGAGTGTTGACCATCCTCAGCCAGTATGTACAGCAAGACACCGAAGCACACAGACTTCCTGCACGAGGCCGCACGTCCCTGATGGGTCATGGTCCTCCTTCACCACAATCATATTATGGCCCGCCGTATCACTGAGACATCAAACAGACCCACCCTGACTAGCACTGCCGTCAGAGAGAAGCTCCGTCGTGAACATGGGCATTAAGGGCACTTCGGTCTGGCTTGTAGGTGCGCAAAAAGTTTCTCTTTCAAGCTCAATGATGTGATCTTACAAGCAGCAGCCTCGGCAGGTGTGTCTGTACGCATCTCAAGGTGATGGGGGGGTAGCTTGCTGCAGGAACTCATTTCCAAAGCGGACCTCATCCACGATCTGCCACAACCGATCTTGGCTTGCTTGCTCACCTCCGCTGCTCAAATGCAGAAGATATGCAGCTCACAAGCACCTGCCCAAAACGAGCGTTATCCGTTGAGCATCTTTCCATTTAGGCAAGGCGCAGCGGCGTGCTGCAACCGACACCAAAGCCCCCAACGGCAGGAGGCACAAGCGCCGCGTAAGAGTGGATCTTTCTCCACGAGAAATTGCACTGGCCTCAGACGGAGGCTTCGGCACTTGAGCACAAAAACCTCCTAAAACTCCTGACATAGCTGGAGTTCGTCGGCTTAGCGGTGGCCCCGAAGATGTTGGCAGAGCAACAGTCGAAGGCCATCACTGGCAACACAAGATCGCACAACCTCTCCACTGCATGCAGAAGGCCTGGCCAGCGTTGCGACTCCGATTCCCACCCATGGCCTTCAGGGTTTAGGGTTTAGAGTTTAGGGCCTTGGGGACCTCTGAACAGAGCACCTGAGTCGACAAAAAACTCACCTTTGGTAAGCCTTTGGCCCAACCTCCCTTGCCATCAAGTCCAACCCCTTACCCCTAAACTGCCCCAAACCCACACACCTCTAGACATACGAATTTAAGATTCAGCGTTGGGGGGCCGCAAAGTTCTTGGGGTTTCGAGTCAGACCAGCTGAGCTTTGCACTTCGAGGCGGCTGGGGATTTCTGATTTGGCGCGCCCGAACCCTTTCTTTTGTGACCCAGGACCTGGGCTACACCACCCGACCCCCCAAAGCCTGGAACTCCTGCTGCATCTCATGGTCGAGGACATCAAGCAGCTCCTGCAAGGCAAGACGCTTGCGAATTACGCAAGGCGTGTCACCCAGCCGAAACCCTGAACCGATGCTGTGGACCAAGTCGGGAGGTGAGTGCGATGGGCTTCGTGGCTTTGCTGCCGATGTGCACGGAGGCACAACTCGACGGAACCCCTGAGAACGAAGCAATCCCAACTTCAGTCAGTCATGCCAGCCTGCTTGTTTGGAAAGCCCAGTGCTGCCGATTTCTTGCAGATCACCTTCCATGAGTTACTCCAGAAAGCGCTTCAGGGACTACGGGAGTACGTCGCCCTGAAGTCGCAGGCCTGAAGCTCACGTGAAATCGGCTACAAACCAGGGTCTCGTTGTCTCTAGGTCTGCTAATTGAGCAACGTTTGGCATGCCTTACACCCCGGTCGTTTTTTGACACGTGCCTCTTCAACAAGCCTGTAAGATGGTACAAAAGGACCCGTTCACCCTTTCCTTGATGCTTGGCCTGCTGCAACAGCAGGAGGTAGTCCACCTGTCGGCTGCATCAGCACAGTGTTGGAGTCAGGCCTAAACAGGACCAGTCTAGTGCCCCAAGTTGAGCAGAATTTGCAGTGTCTTTCGAAGACTGCGACAGCAGGCCCTACTTTCCTTTCCTCAGACAGACTTCAGCTATAGGACTCTCACTAAAACCAAGGGGCCTCCGGTCCGGAGGAGGGGAATGCATGTCTCCCCAGCGCCGGAAGACGTTCAGCCGACAAGGCCCCCCCCCAAATCCTGCAAACAAAAGGATGCTTTAAGTAGAATAAGCTTTAAGTAGAATAAGCGTGCCTACTTCATGCGACGCGCGCAAGTAATCCTTTGCCATTCCACCGATGATCTTTGGTAAGATCTACACACCCAAAGGAGCCAGAACCTACTGCTTGCAATCAAGACGGAGTCCAAGAAGGTGGCCCGAAACCCTAAACTCTAAGCCCGAAACCCTAAACCTTAAATCCTACACCACCTAAGCCGGCCTTGTGAAGATTTTGAAGGACAGCACGATGCCACTTGTCAAGCCTCCGGCAGGGATTGGGGCTCAGAGTGTGGGTTCATGCTCACATGGTTTGCTTGGCTGATGCTTGGAAACATCTTGGAATCCTTGCACCCAAACCAGCCTAAAGCCAAAATCCCAAACCCGAAACCCCAAACCCTAAACCCCAAACCCTAAACCCCAAACCTTAAACCCAAACCCTAAACCCCAAACCATAAACCCTAAACTCCTAAACCCTGAACCCGAATCCACAACCTTAGGTGCCACCCCGCCACTTGCGCTCATGGGCGTGGGGCAGGTGGCAGAAGTCGCAGGCAGCGCCGCGGGGACACCAACCAGCCTGACCCGGAGCCAACAACATGTAAGAATATTTGAGAAAATGACAAGAGAATCTAGAATGATATATCAAAGCTAATATAAACATATAGACGGACATGTAATGGTGTGCTAATAAAAAATCTCGTATGCAAAAACAAGAATATATAACGACATCAAGTAGTATAAAAGAATTCTGTAAATTTGTATGTAAGTGTGTATATATATATATTTATTTATTTGTTTTTTATTTATTTGTCCATTTATATATTTATATATTTACCTTTTATCTATTTATACTTATTATATGTACGTGCATATAGAAATATGTACATCTACATGTGCATATATGTGTGTATATTTATATTATGTTTTTATAAGAATTACATATAAGTTTCTGTATGCATATACAATTATATACAAGTATAGTAGTTATATATATATACACTCGTATCTTAACAATGCTAATAATGCATAATACAGAAGTTTTTCTCAGATATATATATATATATATGCATCATACATAATACATAAAATGTTATAAACATATATATATATATATATATAGTATGTACGAATAGGTTCTATACTACATAAGAATGCATAATGCTCTCGCGTAGCCTATGTTGCACCGGGAACACCGATGTATTACCGATGAAGATGCACATTTGCACTTATCTGTGGCCTTGGCGATGTGCACACATGGACGTCGGCATGTTCCGGGGTGGCCCAAACTTCCTTGGCTGGGCATCTCGGGAACATCTGCTTCCCGGCTGGAGGCCTCGACAAGATTCCGACATGGAATCTCGCCCCGGCTGGGCATCTCGGGAGCATCCGCTTCCGGGCTGGAGTCCTCGTCAAGACACTGACATGGAAGCTCGCCCGCTTCGGGCTGCGCTTCTTGAGGCTCCCTGTCCCTGGGAGTCGTAGCCTGCCTGCAAGCAAGCAAGCTGCCGACATACTTCTTCAGAGCGATGTTCTTCTTCTTCCAGTCGTGCTCCAAAGCTTCGCAATCTTCGCAGCATCCCGGCGGAACGCTGCATGACCGCATTTTGGAAGATCGGCAGTCCACCTCTGGCTCGTCGGGCTCGAAGTGAATGAAGGTGCCCCTGTACATTAGCTGGCCCTGCATGTCTTAAGGCAGAAGCTCGGCTGAGGAATCTGAAACAACTTTTGCACCTCTCAGCCTTGAGCCACGACAAGTCGAACCAGCGACAACTGCCTTCAAGTTCTCGAAATCTGTATCCCTTCTCACCTTCGCGGGTAAACTCAGCTGCTAAACTGCTCCGATCGACCCCATATGGCACTGTCTCACGTTGGGTGCACGACTCGTTCATCTTGTGGGACTTGGCCTCAGCTAGTCGATCGCATGGTCTGAAGCTGAGGTTGGGAGACATACAAGAAGCTTCAACATGCCTATGTCACAGACATGTTTTTTCTCGTGGGTCCTGGACACTCTTGGGATGGTTCGGCTTTCCTTCAGGCGCGCACGATCTTGGACTTCTGGTACTGGTAGGACCAGGCGAGGAACACATCCAAAAGGACCACGCGGTCGCCCTGGAGGCAACTTTACGGTCTGGTCGGGGGGCCCTCGGACGGTCAGCCCTTGCTAGCCAAACACCTCCATACACACAGCCTGAGTTCTTTTCTCAGAAGTGACATTTCGAGCACGGAAGGTTTTTGAATCCAACCCTGTATTGCGCCGATCCACAAAGATGGCTCCCGAGCCTTCGCGCCGAGGTTGTGAAGGGCTTTCACGCGCATCTGGCGAAGAGCAGGACTAGCAGTGACTAGCAGTGACCAGCCACCCCGGCGCTTCGTTCGCTTGCGAAACTTTGACCCGAAGGGTTGCGGCCCTAAGTCCTAGGTTGAACAACTGCTTAAGAATTAACACTTGCTTCGGCTTGAAGAAGCTTGAAAGCCAGCTGCGACCCTGCGCAGGTGATGGACACGGAGTCTGGCTACTAAACCTTAATAATCCCATCGCCCCAAACCTCACATTTCGACCCCCCCTATGCGATCCTACGCGGCTGCACCGGCTCTCAAAGTGGTCCCCCCTGCCTGAGCCACCCAAGTTAAGAATCTCCAGGCGTGAAGCTCTCAAACGGTCGAGATCAGGCCTCCTTTTTCCTCGTCTCGTTCATCTGATGTTGCTTTGCCATTTCCTCCAACTGGACCTCATTCATGTGCATGTGGGACGGTTCGAAATTCGGAGCCCCTGTCGGACCTTTGACAACAAGAACCCTCCTGAAGAACGGACGAAGGAAGCTTAATCTTAATTCAAAACAATCTCCCATGCGTCTCGGAATCAGGTGCAGAAGGCAACTATCCCCACAGAAGCCCCTTTACTGAGGTGGCAAGCAACCGATGTTGGCTTCTGCACTTGCACTGCTCGTGAGACACTAGGCGCTAAATCCAAAACCCTAAACCTTAAACCCTAACATTCAGCGGGGGGGGTAGAAGACCTTTCCTGCAGCAAGCGCAAACCGGCCTCGCGCTCACGCTCATACTCCGCCTTCATCCTGAGCCATTACCAGGAATTGGAGAGTAGTAGGAGCTGAAGGGGTTCGTTGAGGCGACCTTGTAACCTGGTGGTCTTCAGAATCAGGGGAGGATCGCAAAATCATCTGGTCGTGACACCAAGAGATCTCTCTACGCTCACCATGCGGATCTCATCTCGGGGTCAGTCTTTTCGCCCTGCGACATCTCGAACCATCGGCGGAAGACCTTGACCGCGAGGCACTCTTCTACCCCAAGTTCGCATTTTGACATGCTGCCATTGTTTTGGTATGCCACTGAGGCGGTACGACCTGCATTTCACAATGAAGGTCCTTCAAGACTGCTGATGTTCCACGGAGCCCTACCCCGACTTTCAACCCCCAAAAAAGAACTGTAGAACAAAACAGGCGATGAATTCGATGTCTGTAGGGGTCGAGCCAGGCCCTTCAGGGCTGGACCATTGCTGCCTGCCAGGAAGGTCCCATACCTGGGCCAGGATTCCACGGTTGAGTTGGGGGAGCTCTTCTAAGCTATGCCGGCGTAGGCCCAAAGCACTTCAAACCCTCCAAGAGCACCCGTCAAGACCACTTTAGGATGACCTCAGAAGAGAGAACCCGAAGATGACCCTCCAGGCACCTCACGAGAAGCGCATGCAGAGACCGAGGCTCAGAAGGGACACGCGACAAGCCAACCCGTCACCAGCCCCCTAAGAACTGTCTATGCAACAGTGCACGATTTTCCAGAAGCAGAGCGACACCAAGCCTCGAAAAGTACCCTGGGGCACCCGTAAGGGCACGATTCGTCCGAGTATGCAGTGTGCACGGGCGAGAGCGATTTATGGCACCCGCCGCGAGGCCAGAAGCATGCTGTTTGCCACAGTTTGCCACAGTTTGCGACGTTTAGCGGTTTAGCGCTTGCGGCCCTGAAATTCGCACGGACGGAGTAGACGAGAGCTTCGCGTGCAGAGGGCCCCCGCTCGCAATTTGACATGCTTTCGGCGTCTAGGCGAGAACGTCCGGGCTCAGCAGCTCAGGAAGCACATGGAAACACCGATAAATAATTATCGATCTTGAGGCCCCTCGCGGACACCGGCGGGCGGCGTCAAGAACCCCGAAGTGCAAGCACTACGGTATGTAGGGGGATCAGGGTGGTGCCTGGTTGAATCCCTGTAGGTGCTTTGTTCGTGCAGAGGGGGGGAGTCTTCATTCATGTACCACATGATACCTCCATGTACCGGAAAGAGAGCTGGGAAGCCTCTGGAGGTTTTTTGGGGACTCGGGCTTGCTTCGGGAGTTCTTCGACTTCAGAGGAAGAGCGTGACTTCTGCCATGGGCAAAGGCTAAGACCCACACTTGCTTCCATAACCCACCAAGCAAGCCCAAACCATCTCCACCCAAAATGTTGGATTGCTGAAACCAACGCCGGCCGAGCTGGACACTTCTGCATGGAAAGCTCTTGCTTGCGGATCCTGAGATGGCCCAAAACAGCTTGGAATTCAAGGCGAAAGCTCTCATGGTTCACAGGCAGTCGTTCGGCCCTCGGCTGAGGGTTGAAAGAATGGGTTTCTTCCACTTGCAAGCAAACAAGGGGGCCATCTGGGCCCAGGGCAGGTTCTCCACCTGCTTCTCAAGCCTGACTGCTCAAAACTTCGGAAGAACTCTTTGAACAAGATCAGCATGCCTCACACTGTCAAGCCAACTTGCTGGGGCATCCGCTTGCTGATCTGCGAATCCTTCTTTGCGTCGTGCATGGCCTCATCAGAGTTTGCAGAAAGCACTCTGGCACAACTGGAGGTCCCAACATTCCGGCGACAAAGGAATGCCGAAACACCCATCTACGCTTGGCTCAAAAAAGATCGTGCCAAAGTCATGCAATCAAAATCCATACGCCTCTACCAAAGCACTACCAACGCGCTGCTTAAACCCGCCCACCCGGCATGGTGCAAGATGTCGGGAACGAACCACAATTACCGACCGCTGTCCCAACCGCAACAAACAGATGGGCGGAAACTGGACTTGAACAAATTGGGGTCCTCACCTACGTCTACATCCTCAAGGCACCTAGCAGTCCCTTTGTGCGTACAGTGTAGGACGTGTGCAGCCGAAGATCTGCGGAGGTAGGTCTGCTGCTACGAAGCTCTCAACCGGACACTGCCAATGGAAAGTTCTGAGATTCACACGTAGTTCTTCCAATTCAAGTACACAGAATGAAGGATGCCCCTGCGCTCCCCCTCGATGAAGCGGGACATAGCATCCTGGCGATGCCAGACAGCAGGGGTCCCAATCCTTTGTGTATGTGTGTGTCACGATGGAAGATGAAGGCTGCGTGCTCTAAACTTGCACGTGCTCTACACTTGTCAAGAGCAGCGCAGCGTGCTCCAGCTGCCACTAAGCTTTTTGGAGGTCTCTAGGGAGGACGTGCTCAGAGCCTGTGTGCGCACCAAGGCTACCGATGATCACCGAAGTGGCCAGGGCCAGTTGCCTTCACGGCCGTGCGCTTCTTGTTGGAGTCCTTGAGCGCTTCCTGGGCACAGTTCGAAAGGTGCCTGCCCTGAGAAAGGGGTCGGTCAGCTCCCCTTTCTTGCCCTCCCTCACCTGATATGACCCGACGACCCGAAGGCAGCTGCAGCAAAGGCGCCATGTAGCGGCGCCACATGGTGAAGTACTCGGCCACGCTGACGGCCGTGTGGCCTCCGCAACAGGCCCACACGTGGATGTGTCGATGGGATCGGATCGTCTTGGATCACCCCGAACATCTCCGGCCACTTCAGAGCTGGGCCCTGGGCCCATCCACTTCTTCAGAGCAAGCTCCGTCCTGAGCGTGTGCAGGAACTGGCGGAACCCCCCAGCTCAAGTCTCTGTTGCGTCCCTGCGAGACGAAGCATCAGTCGCATTTCCCAACCCATACCATTCCTCAAGATCACAACTTTATCAGGGGCCTAATCAGCATTGGACTTGAGCGTTACGGTTTAGGGTTCGTAGCCTGTCGTCCTACTTCCTGCAGGCGCACACACACACACACACAGAGGGATGAACGACGAATTTCAAAATGCACCCGGAGGATTCGGGGGCTGAGGACCCTGCGTGGCTTGCGCTGCGGCCTTTAGACGCTCCTTCTCGTCCAAGGTGCCCCGGAGCTCCTTTCGCTTGGGGCTTGCGGCTTAGGGTTCGGGGAAGTGGTTCAGGGGGAAAATCTTCCCCCTCTTCAAAACTCAAATTGCACCTGATCCTGTTCATTTAGGGGCGGCACTGACGGGATCCATACAGAAGAGATAGTTTGCTTGGAGGACCCTGCAAGTGGTCTCTATCAAGTATACTTCCCTCCCCACCACAACACAAGGCAGGCCCTGAATATCTCAGACACACATCTTTACTCACCTTCGCAGGGAACAGAGACTCAACCACCACTGCTTCAAAAAATCATGGTCAAGGGCCCCATCACCACAAGCGCCAAAAGACAGCGAAGCCCAAGGCCCAAGGCATGGTCCTTCTCATGCAGGTTCCGCAATCGGTCTGTCTCCGCCTCTAGCTTTCTCAACGTTCACTGGATGTGCTGTTGAAAATAGAGCCGCTAGTAGAGTTGCGCAGATGACATAACTACCGTGAGAGATCCCTGACGTTTCTTCCACGGAAACCAGACATGTACCCAATGCACCCTTACGCCATGTGGGGACCTCCCAGTGGGCTTTCTGCTGAGCGAGGACATCCTGCCAGGTCAAAGTCATTCCTAGCGCAAGTCGCTGCGCAGGAAAAAGCAGGGCAGCGACCAGGGAAGGGCAAAAAGCATGCAAAATTTAAGGATTTCTAAAGCGATGTCGAACCAGCGGCTGCTCTCAGAAGGCTTGTGGAGCATTGTGCCCCTTGAGTGAGCGTGTCCTCCTTGTCTCGTTCGGCTTTCTCGCCTCGGCATCCACCACCGATTATAGAAGGACAGCCAGCAGCTGTACACGCCTTTCGGTTCGCATTGGTGCCTCATTATGATGGCATATAGCTACGTTCGAAGCCAGCTAGAGGGTGAGACCCTGACATGACTGGTTCAGACTTCTGTGCCTTCTTGCACCTACAGGTTGCCAAAAAAGCCCACAGGTGCAACATCCCGGAACATGTTAGCTGAGCCAGCGACTCCGAGCAAGGGACACCCAGCTCTTGAAGGTGTTGACCAGGGCAGCCTGCAACAAGGGTCTAGGGCCTGGGGGTTCAGGATTTTGGGGTGTTCGGGTGCAGGGCTTCTCTCCACCACGACCATCACCACCGCCAGCCAGAATAGCGACAACCAGCAGCACCCCAACAAAATGGCAACAACGCTCCTGGAAATGCCAATGTCAGGAAAACAGATTTTCCCGCGGTGTTTCAAACTATCCTTGAGGTTCTTTCGCACGTTTTTACTGCTCTAGGCGCAGACTGAAGATCTGAAAATTTCAGTGGTCGTAGGGCAGTTACATGGTCCCTGAATATGGGTCCTCAGTCAAAGGGCCCGTACTTCAGAACCCTTTAACGAAGGCATGGCACCAGAATGGGGGACCATGAAACTTCCCTCAGGAGTGGGGTTCAGGGTTTAGGGTTTAGGCGCCATCTCGGCCCCCAGTTAAGCACCTTCTCTTTGCCCATCAAGGCGTTGCGCAGGGAGGCGTGCACAGCCTGAGCGCCCGGGTTTCAAGCGCTTGGGATGGCTTTTGGAATCCCGGCGGGGTTGCCTTTTCCAGGATCACAACAAGAGGCTTCAGAAGCTTGCAGAATTCAGAGGCTCACCCTCCTCCAACTCTCCTACCAATAGCCTTTGCCAGGTGGCCTCCCGATTCCTCTTCGACATCTTGCTCTGCTTGGAGTACTGGGCCCAGGTCTGGAAAACCTCAACGGTTGGGATCAAAGCCTACGTGCACTGGGCTGTCAATGGCTCTAGCGACTCTAGTAATGCAGATCGCATCACGAAGGAAGACGGATTTCTCTCGAGTGGTCTCCCTGTGGGAAAACTGGCAACAAAACAACACAGCCGCTAGCGTCCCTGGCGTTCTTCTTGTTGCCCTTGTCTTCGCCAACTGCCCACCTAATTCCGAGGCGGGCTCAACTTTCGGAACTCTCTGACTGTCTCTGCAAGGGCCGATTGTCAATGCACAAGCCCATTAACGCTGGAGCAAATCCGGCATCTTGCCACGCAGGCCAGAACAGTAGCCTGAGGAGTCTGCTTGCTCACGGAGGCAAGGACACTAGCACGAGCTTTGTCCATGGCAATCTCGGCCTCCAAGGCAGGCGCAAGAAAAGGCAACAAGTACCTAGCTGGACCTAGCTTCCTCCCCAAAATCCTGATTGCGCAAAGTCCCACTAGACTTCAGGATTCTGGCGAGACCCCGGCTTGCAACCGTGGGCAGTCTGCACCACGACGCTGCTTTTTTAACCCGTCGCTACAGCTCGTCGGCACGGGGAACCTCAGCTGAGGTGTGGGCTTCATGAGGTGAGTAGACACCACGACGGAAGCACAAATACGATAAAAAAAATACCAGAACATCGACTCTGAACGCAGACTGTACCACTAGAATCACTATAAGATGCTATATGCCACCCTGGGACAGGGAGACAGGGAAAAGGAGTGAAACAGATAGGCAAGCAGGGGCAGACTTACCTGGAGAAAAAAGGGAGTGCTAGGCAGTATGACGAAGACCCTCAGGGCACTCTTTCAGCTGGCAGGCTGCGAACCGAACAATGGAGGCATTTCTTCTACACTTCTCCAATGTCAGTAGATGTGCTTTGTTGTAGCAACCCGGGCAACTGCTCTCGTGACTTGGTGCACATCTGATGGAAGTCGCAGGGCAGCCTTCCACGATGTTGCAGACATAGGGCACCACAAAGCCACAAAGAAGCCACCCCAAGCACGCAGAGGCACAGCATTGCAGAAAGCCGAAGCAACTCAGCTGAAGCCGAACGCCCGAAACAATCCAGAAGTCTCACAGAAAACCCTCTAAAGCCGATTCAGGGAGCTACGCCGGGATCTTCCGCCCCACCGGTGCAGAGGGGCGGTGGTCGTGGCGCTCGGCTCCGCAGCGGAGCGCCGCCACGGAGGGCGGCAAATGACTGAAAGCTGCAGGGCTACAAGGCTTAAGGTTTAACACACAGATACATTTGCGTGCGCCCATCGTTTGTGCAATTGCTTCTTGTGGGTTCCTCATGTGCTGCGGCTGAGTTCTGCGCAAGGTTGGATTCCATTGTCAACGGCTTAGAGGGTGTTGTGCTTCACTTATTGCTTGAGGACTTACGACGCGCTCATTAAAGTACGTGTGTGTGCACACATACACACACCGAACAGACACACATGTGGTTCGACATGTCTCCGTATACAGTCTGCATATATACCATATGCATATATACCGCTTTCGATCTATCGATTGTGTATCCAAAAAGGAACCAAAATTGACCATGTGTATTCTATATATATATATATATGTACATATGTGTGTTTGGCGACCTTCCTGTATCGAGTCAGATTCATCCCAAGGGGTGCTCTACAATAGAGGTCCCCGTACCTTTGTCCAGTAGAATCTGAAAAGCCTGCGCACAGAGAAGAGGACCACCCTAAACCCTAAACCCGAAACCCGAAACCCGAAACCCGAAACCCCAAACTAAACCCTAACTTTGACACAATCCCCCAAACGCGATCCGAGCATCGTAGGGGCGCACAGCCTCGGTTCCGGAAAGCTTGAAGCCCAGCCACCTCAGCCGGGTTTAGGGTTTAGGGTTTCGGGTTTAGGGTTTAGGGCTTAGGGCTCAGGTTTAAGGTTTAGGGTTTAGGGTTTTAGGGTTTAGGGTTTAGGGTTTAGGGTTTAGGGTTTGGGGTTTAGGGTTTAGGGTTTAGGGTTTAGGGTTTAGGGTTTAGGGTTTAGGGTTTAGGGTTTAGGGTTTAGGGTTTAGGGTTTAGGGTTTAGGGTTTAGGGTTTAGGGTTTAGGGTTTAGGGTTTAGGGAGATATCCCTCGGAGATCATCAGCCGGGCCTTTGTCTCATGCCCATGTCGGCCCGGACTCCCAACCCCGACAATTCCCAGCATCATCTCCAAGACACGCTGGGAAGAGTATCGCTTCGCCTTGGTGGCATAGATGGGCCTATTTCTCACCACACGCTGTGTGCTCCAGGACAGCTCACCTACACAATTTCGGAAGTGCTCGGCTCGCCATGTGCAGCTCTATGGTAGCTTGGTTCAGACTTGGCTACGGCAGCCCTTGCAGAGGAATGAAGAATGCAAATTACACCACAACCTACCTGAGATGAGCCGCCTTCCTCACAGCGAACTTCGGTGTGCCAGTGGAAGGGTGCCTGTGGGCAATCATGCAAGGACCAAAGCTTCGCATCAGAGTGCGGTGTAAGAGCGATTGCACCTTCTGCGCCCTGAAACACGCGAACCTGCCATTTGGGGGTTCCTAGACTAAGGATGATACTATTTTGGGGTACATTCTGGGTACCCCTATTTGGGGAAAGGCCCATGTTGCGCGGTACCTAGCTCCAGCTGCTCCCGTTTCACGAGAAAAAGGAGGCCTTTGGCTCCTGGGCCAGGAGCTCGCCCTGCACCCAGGCGGTTTAGGGTTTAGGGTTTAGGGTTTAGGGTTTAGGGTTTAGGGTTTGGGGTTTGGGGTTTACGGTTTAGGGTTTAGGGTTTAGGGTTTAGGGTTTAGGGTTTAGGGTTTAGGGTTTAGGGTTTAGGGTTTAGGGTTTAGGGTTTAGGGTTTAGGGGTGTCATTGGACAAATTTTCGTGGGTCTCCCAACGCGGGCTTCGTGGCTACAGCGGCTACAACTTGGGGGATTTATGAGAACAAGCGACCCCCTAAGATTAGAATGCAGGGATCCACCCTGTTTTTGAAGGACCCCAATAAGGTACCCCGTAATACCGAAAAAAAACCATTTGAGGGGCACTCCCGAACCTGAAGACTGGGACCTGTTCTGCAGATCTGCCCAGGTTTAGGGTTTAGGGTTTAAGGTTTAGGGGAAAGGGTTTAGGGTTTAGGGTTTAGGGTTTGATGCGAGTCTTGACCACGTCGGCTTTTGGGTTCCGTGGGGCAGATACAGACATACTCAGGCAGAACATGGTTCTTGTTGACCTCAAGGTGTGCATCGGACAGTCGTTAGCTGCACACCACCGACATGAACAGAGCATCATGTTGAGTGATCTGCACACTTTGACAGCACAGCTCTCCTCAATGAACCGCAGATTCTCGTTTTTGCACGCAACATTTAATTTTGCAGGATAGTAGGCAATCACCTTGAAAGTTCGCCCGCGCCGAATATCACCACATCGCAGAGTATCGGTAACGAGTCTATCACAATTTGCGGGAAGGATTCGACAATCCTAGTCATTGCGATAGTCATCCTACAGCACACGAACTTTCGCAGACGTTTAAAGAAGTTGCGCAGCGTCCAAGCATTCGGTTCAAGGCCCTCAATATGCTTCAACCATGACACCTCAGGATGGTGGACTGAAACATCTGTGAGAGGCATACCATGACTCCGGCCATCTGCTCTCCAACCCCTGAAACATATTCTGAAATCCGGCTTTTTTGTTGGAGGCTGTCTGTTGGAGACTGAGCAGCAATCCGGTGCTCCAGGAATATAGGGCATCTCCGTTACGAGCTCTCTTCTGATTTCGTCCTATTTGCTCGGAAAAAACGAAAAAAAGTTTAGTGAAAGACCTTTGGAGCCCTGTGCTAAGATGTTGCTAAACTGATCTCCTGCGCGTCTTCTGAATTGCCGGTTGCTCCATGACGTTCACTTCACCCTAAATCCAAACTCGACACTTGACCCCGGGCGCCTTCACTGGAACACTGCCCGACCACTGGCGGTTCCATTTTCCTGGGACGAAGAACATTCAGGGTTCAAGAGGCAGATTCAGGGTTGTGGCGGTGGTGGCGGTGGTGGCGGTGGTGGTGGCGGCGGCGGTGACGGTGGTTGGTGGTGGGGTCGCCTACAGTACCAATGGATGGATGCTGAGCCTTGTCATCCCAGCGGACCACTCCCCCGACCCGAAAGCACAGGGAGCGAGACAGCGGCAAGCTCGGCATCACGCATGCTGGGAGGCTTGCCGCTCGGCCCTTGCAAGCAAGCCGGCCACGCACTACGACAGCACCATTCCCCCAATAGTCCCCTGCCAAGGTAATACGTGCAGCGGGCAGCGCAAGGCTGCATGCCCAGCGGGCCAGCACACTTCCCTGTGGTTCCCTCAACCCGGCGCTTCCTTGTGAGTCTGCCCTCCTGATAATGGAGCAAAGCCCAAGACTGCAGGCACTGGGGGCGGGCTGGATTCAGGGCGTTGCGTGGGAGGTTTTTGGATTTGGCTTCCATGGGGTGGGAGATCGTCTGGGTTAAGGATGAAGCTGATTCCCAAAATGTACCAGCATCGTTCGAAAGAAGCATCCTTGAGCGTTGGGCGTTTCAATTCCAAAAAACATGTCAGGATTTTTTACAAAAACTTATCACAAAAACCTATCAAGCGGGCAGTCTAGTGATTGGTGTGGACAGTGTTCCAATGAACGGGTGCACGCTACATGGTTCTACCAGGCAGAGCTTTCAAGCAATCTTCCCATAATCAGGGTACAGGGTAGGGGTTGAGACCACTACATCACCACCACCTGACGAGCCACTGGCGCTGCCCTGCCTGAACAGCGGCTGCAGAATCTGAAGCACGCCCTTAAATTGACTACTCTGAGACTCTGAGCCCTGGATACTCTCCCGATGTGTGCGAAGTCACCCCGTGGGTCTGCGAAGCTCACCGATGCCGATGCATCACAAAGGACCTTATAGGGTCTTCAGCTTCCAGCAGGCAGAGCAAGATGAGGGCTGGGAGGGCTTCGTGCTCTGAAGGGACCCATGATGCCGGGGCAGGGGCAGCCATCATCGAGGCGCTTCGGTTCTCCAGCCATGGCCCCTCCACGAAGCTCAGTGGAGGGTCTTGGAGGATCTTAAGCAGAGTTTGGGGGAGCACTCAGTAAGGTCCTGTGACAAAGCCTTCGCATGGACCAAGGCCGGAGAGGAAACGATGGATGCTCCGGGAACATCGGCCTGCGTCGCATTCAGAGGCTCGGGCTTCGGAGCCCTGGCTCGCAGGTGGGGCAGACATCGGGCTAACGGCCGGCCTCCAGCAGCTCGGCCACCGCCTCCTCCACCTCCTTGACTTGCCTGCACCAGTGCTCTTGGAGGTACTCTTGTGATGGTTTTTTATATGTTTTTGTTTCTGTATCTTGATCGGTATGTTCGTCAAAACATCACAAAAGGTGGAGAGCATGCAGCGCACTGCAGTCAGCCCCGCAGGACTTTAGCCCTTACACTACGGGAGTTCACGTCGCGCCTTGTCTGAAGAACATAGACCTGAGTGCTGAAGACCTCAGTGCATTGTGAAGGCGAACGCTTCGAAGGGTCGAGGATGGCTTCGGCACGGCACGGATTTCCTGCAGGGTGCCAACTCCTTGGGGCCCGAGCTCTCAGCAAACGCAGAGTCCTGGCGGACGGAAAGGAAGGCGCCCGAGAGTGAGAGCATTCTGCCTACCTTTGAACCCCGTTCCCAACACCAAACAACCCCGGCAGGTCCTCAGAGACGGCTCCTTGTGCTCAGGGCACATCCGGCTACAGCGATCTGCTCCATTCAGCTCAGGGTGGAGGAACTGCCTCAACTCCATGTGCTGGAGACAGCGCTCCCAAGACGCGATCGACGAAACGGTCGGAGAAGCTTCCTACAACGCACTGAAAAAAGGTATTCTGCGGGCACAGCCCATCTTCGGGGACGCAGTTCGAGACATATTCTTTAAATTGCAAGTGGCGTCATCTCGATCTCCGGCGGAGTGTCACCTAGACGGAGACTTTCTTGCAACATCATTTTTCTTCGTGGCCTTCATCAAGAGATCAAGCAGCTGAACTTCGGCTCAGGAGGAGCCAAGACCGAATTCCCACAACCAGAACCGTAAAGCATCTATTTGCACGGAACAAAGAGCGACCGACTTTGCACCACTGGTAGGGCCGTGTGGTCTCTCTTGAGTTCCTCACTTCAAAGTTTAGGGTTCAAAACTCTGCGTGCTGCTGCCAAAGATCCCCAGGAAAGGATCAGCTTCCTGCCACGCGCCAAGACACAAGAGAAACCAGCTAACCTCGAATTTGAAGTACCCTTTCGCAGCGAGTACCTGGTCTGGCCTCGAAAAGTTTCTTGCTCGTTGGACTGCAAGCTCTTCGAACGAGCACGTGAGAACCCGAAACCTAAATCCAGCAGGTCAACAGCAAAAATTCGTGCATGTCGTCACCGGCGCCTCCAATGCTTCAACGCGTTGAAAGCTGCCTGGCAGCGTGCACTCGGGATGCTGGGATTGAGAGAGCAGGTGTTCTCACGCCAATGTGCGTTGTCATGCTTAAGAACCTCATCGTGATGCCAGGGCCTTGTACTTCTTCGGAACCTTCTGTGGGATGAGATCTTTCAAGCCTCTGCTCCGGGAAAACTCGGCTTCGGAAACATGGCAGCATGCCACGGAAGAGGCAGGAAATCTCAACTGGGCGCCTCTGGATCGAAAAATTCAACTTCAAGGGTGCGGACCTCAGCTGAGGTCCGCACTTTGCTCCACCTGTGGCCGAACGCTGGCATCCAGCAGGATGGCGCGCGCAAACATGAGCGCAGCATCCAGGTAGTACCTAAGAGAACTTGAGAGCACACCGCACATCACAGCAACAACATCAACAACATCAACAACATCAACAACATCAACAACATCAACAACATCAACAACATCAACAACATCAACAACATCAACAACATCAACAACATCAACAACATCAACAACATCAACAACATCAACAACATCAACAACATCAACAACAGGCATAGGGAGACAAGGATGAGAGCACATCACTCCAGCATGAAATGTAAGAAGGCTGCGCAACTACTCGATCCGTTGCAACACCAGCAGACCTTTTGTGGTCCAACGGGGGCAGGCCGAGTCAAGTTCAAGCCTGAAAGCTTTTCACCAAGCGGCTGGCCCTCACCTTGCAAGAATGGAGAAACTCCACTCAAGAACTGCTGAGTGGCTTGGCAAGGCACATGTCTGCTGGGACACGCTGGCACTTTCAAAGCAAGTGGCACATGAAAACCCACTCAAAACATGGTGTACCGTCACAGTATAGAGGTGATTGTGGGCTTTGAGGACTTTCCTGACTCTCAGGGGCGACCCCGCCTCTCATGTCCAGGATGACGGCCACACGAGCAGAGATGTTCCCTCCCAGGGCGTTCTAGAAGCTCCCAGCAGGTGCCATTTTGAAGACCCGCAAGAGCCCATGCTTGTAAACAGAAGGCGGAGGCCCAGCAAGGACAGTAAGGAGAGGACTCAAAAGAAGCCCCGAAGAGTCGAGAATGTGGCTTGCCTCCCTGCTTCTGAGTCTGCCAAAGAGCCCAAGCCCCTTTAGGCATTGCAGCTTGAGGAGGCTCAGGCTTCCGAAGGGTCAAGGGGCAAATCTTCGAATCTCCGGCCCTTTAAAATCTCACTGCGGCGACCTGCGGCCAACCAAGCCGATGCATCTGACCTGTCTGCAAACAAGTCTTTGAGGACTTATCCCCCCAAACCCTAAACCCTAAACCCTAAACCCTAAATCCTCCCTGCCATCATATCAGGTCACAAGCACAACTCCGCAACCAAGCAGCACTCCGAATTGGAGCATGGCAACGACTTGGTTCTGCACCTCGTCGAGGGCCGGTTGAGCAGCAGGCATCCCACACCTAAAGACCCTAAACCTGCAACCGCTCTAGCAAAAGACCCAAAAACACCCTCTATTCCACACACCTGAACCCCCGAAACCCCGAAAACAAGCAGTCTAAGCTCGGCCGAGCAGTCTCAGAAAACGCCTTGGCTTGGGGACCGCACCTCCCACATCTTCATGTATGGATCCTGCCAACAAAGCTGAGGATGGGGGTGTAGGGGGGCGGGGGCGCTAGGGCGAAAGGGTTGAGGGCCCAGGGGGTGCAGACTCAGGATGAGTCCTTTGTTGGGGCCCTGGAACACACACCCCTTTGAAGCTGACGACGAGGACGACGAGGACGACTACGACGACTTCTTGGCTATGTCTTCGACGACTTTTACTTGTGGTACTAGTACTAGCTACCATCAGTTACGATCACTGTCACGACTATTCAACATTCACATTCTTCGATCATCGCAGTCCTGCAGCACCTCGGCCAAGTCCAGTGCTGCGGTGGCGTGCGCAGCGTAGTTCGGCACGGCCTCCGGGCGCGCCACAGGAGCCTGGCGAGCTGCATCAAAAACAACAGAAATTTCGTCCCAGCAAGGAGGAGGAAGCACAAATAGTCGGAAGAAGGGATCTAGGGCTGTGGGTTGATCGAGGTCCAGAGCAGGCGTAGCTGAAGTCTCTCTGTGCGTTGCATGCACCCGCGCCGAGCAAGCTCCACCCCTGAAACGACTTGGGCCGGAAAAGTGCCCAATCTCACCCAACGGCTCATTTTCTACGGCCTTCAGGGTCCAAGATTCCGAGAACACTTGAGCCCCAGGCTGCACCTGGGGCTTGGCGATGCGCTCCCACCCGTCCAGCGGGCTCTCACTTCCCTGCTGGTGCAGGAGTTGTTCTGCGTTGTAGATCGTAGATCAGTTTCATAATATGAAGCCCTTTGCAGAACCCCAAGAAAGGGGAACAATTTAGAGCAACCCGCAACTGAGCATGGCGTGCCGCGACATGAGTTCTGGGCCATGCCCCTGGAGTGCAAAAGGAAAGCTTGCTCTAATTCAGGGTTATACGCCTGGTTTCGGGGGCTTCGGGCCTCTTGAACCCGAACTCATCCTAACTCCCTAAAGGCCATATAAGGGTCTCTACAACCCCTGAACCCTATCCTAACTCCCCAAAGCCCTAAAGGCCATATAAGGGTCTCTACAGCCCCCCTGCGGTCCTTGTGCTTCCCCGACAGCTTCCTGCGTCGCTTTGGCAGGTGGCAGTTCGATGGGAACACCACGCGGGTGCCCCGGCCGATGTGCGGAGGCACCTGGATTGCGGGGTTTGGGGGGGGTTGCTTCCGGGCTTGCAGGCCATGATAGGCCATTGTTACTATTACCAATATCGACTACTACTATTGTTATAGTCATTACTGTTACTATCACTCTTGTGATTATTGTCATTTTTATGATTATACTTGAGGGCCTAAGCCTTTCTTGGACGTCACGTCTGCTGAGGGTTCGGGGGTTTCAGCGCCTTGTGGATGGCGAAGGAAGGGAAGATGAGGATGTCCCCTTCCTCTGCGTAGAAAGCCGCTGGTCGGTGGAACCTCAACTACCACGGCTGTGTTGGTGGCCCTTTCTTGTTGAGAAGAGCCACAAGAAAGGTTTAGGGTTGAGGAGGCAGAGTTTAGGGTTTAGGTAAGGCAAAGGCGCTTAGTTTCACAGCGTTTGTCGTTGACTTTCTGCCCCCGAGTTGCGGCGGCTCGCCGTCCACCCCCATGTCACCCTTGTCCTGCCAGACGATAACACTCTGGCCACTGCGGCCTTGACTGCCCTAGCTGGAGTACATACATTCCTAAGCCCTATATAAACCCTTAAACTCCCAAACCCAGGGCCACTTGGGTGCTCAAGCCCTGGGTTTCATAGCATTCTCCGCCAGGCCCGGGAGTCAAAGCAGCTTCGATCGTGAGCAGCTCAGATTCCAGGGTTTGGGGTTTGGGGTTTAGAGTTTAGGGCGTTTAGGGTTTTTAGGGTTTTTACGGTTTTTAAGGTTTTTAGGCTTTAGGGTTTAGGCTTTAGGGTGTAGGGTTTCGGCTTTAGGGTGTAGGGTCTAGGGTCTAGGGTTTAGGGTTTAGGGTTGCCGCACGCAGCCCTCCGTCAAGCTTCGGAGGCATGCCTGTAAGACACTCCACGAAAACTCCTGATCCTTTTGGCCGGAAGACGACTCGTTTTCCGATAATCCTATACTCTGTGTTGCCATACTGCTGTATTTGAGTGCTACTTGCAGGCAACTTCTCCAAGAAATCGCAACAATACTCGCCGTCTACACAAAGGAATTTGTTGCACTCAGTGCTTCGCTTTGGATTCCACCCTCAACCCTAAACCCTAAACCCTAAACCCTAAACCCTAAACCCTAGGGGCAGAGAATGGGAGTCCTGAAACCACTCGAAGTCTTCGATGGGCGGAGCGCCCCGCGGGTCGGAGATTGTCAGAGGCGTGGTGGGCTCCGGCATCTTCGCGTAAAGGACAAAGCCTGAAATGCAGGCGCTTGAAATAGACCTCCAGATGAAGTTTCGGAACTGGGGGTACCTTGTTCGGGCCCTGAATTGTACGGGAATCCTACTATTTGAGGGTCTATATTTCGGGTCCCTCACTGTCGTAAACCCCCAGATGACTCCGAGAACCGAGAAGACGTGAAGGGAGTCTCCCAAGCTTGCTCCTACTTTGCCGAAGTCAAGGAGTGGACTCCATTGCAGCCAAGACACTCACAATCGACTCCTGTCATGACGTGTAAATAAGGCAAATCCCGCCCAGCTTCCATGTAAAGAACGTTGCTCTGTGGTCTTGAAACCAAGTCAACTTCAGAGCAAAGCGGTCACCATTTACCCTGAACTTTACCAGGCTCTGACCATGGATGTTCCAGATTTGTCCTTAAAGAGACCTGCAAGCAGATGGGGGTTTCCGAAATTACGGGGTACCTTATTGGCGTCCTTATTTATAAGGGGATGCTACTATTTGGGGGTCTATTGTAGGGGACCCTTCGTTTCGTTTAACCCCCAGATGGTCCTGGTGGGCATGGTAGTAGTGCGTCACTGGGTCCTCTGCCTTCATCCTTGGGATCGGAGATATCCAACTCATCCGACAATGGCGAGAAAGATACCGCGGACCCAGATCATTAGGCCATTTGTGTTAATACTGCTACTACGACTACTACGACTGCTAGGACTACTACGACTACTACGACTACGACTACTACGACTACGACTACTACGACTACGACTGCGACTCCTCCTGTTACTGTCACTGTTACTGTTGCTGTTTCTGCTACTGTTACTGTTACCGTTATTCGTACTATTTTTGCAAGGTGCACAGGCTTGCCCGACCCAGACCTAATCGAGATTGGTTCCACGGACCAGGCCTCCCAAAGACCCCCCCCCCAGAACCTCAACCCATGCGGTGGCCACCAGTTCTACTAAATTTTGATGAGGATCGTGGGATACACCGCCGCCCACGTGACCACCTCCATCTCTTCTCTCTCCTCCTGTGCCAGAAGCTGAAGTCCCCCATGTTTCCGGGCATGCATGATCCGAGGCTTCGTCTGGACCTTTTGTGTGGCATGCCGTCCGTTCTGATATGAAAGCAGAAGGTGGCTGCTCGGTTACAACTGGATGTGTTCGCAATACAGGAGCGAGTTGAAGGCACACAGCGCACAGGAAAGGACACTAAGCAGAGGCAGCGCGAAGAAACTCCAAGGAGGGTGTCTCTGCGCTGCCTTCACACGTCCAAGCTCCCTTACTAGTTGCGTCGGCTCCCCTTGGTACCAGAGCAAGCGACGAGTCCCAACAGGCCGCGCCCAATTCCTAGCCCTCCTTCCGCAAAAAAGCAGGGACCCTGTATGGCCCGATTTTTGTAAGGAAGGAAACTTAAGCCAGGCCTGAAGCCACGATGCAGACAACACCTGAGGATTGAATTTCTGCATACCAACCCTGTCCTTGGTCAGGGGAACACCCATCTTGTCCAGAAAGGAGCTGCAAATGGCAATGCTCGACTCCGCCCACTCTTTGTATTCCTGGCATGTAGGTTGGGAGCGTGATCTCTGGACAAGACTGTTTCCGGGTTGTTAAACAAAATTGATCCCCTTCGGGCATCCCTTTGTGTAAAGGAATTCTGCAGGAAAAATGCTACCATGCCCAGAAGAAGACCCCAAAGCAGAACAAGCCCCGAGATTTGATGCTTGTGTGTTCTCGTCGACTAGCACGGCAGCTTAACATCCATCCGCGCGACACGGATTCCCTACCGGCACTAGCATATGAGCAGGGAGCGTAGTCAACACCCCGATAAACGCAAATGTTTGCATGGACGAGCAGTTTTGGCAAGGTCTCGAAAACACTCGAGAGAAGCTAAGTTAAGTGTTTAAGGCTTTAAGGTTTGAGCGTTTGGGGTTGCACGGCTGCGGGTATCGATGTTAGGGTGGGGGTGCGGGCCGCGAACAGCCTCAGACCCCACCCCCTGAACTCGAAAATCCAAAGACCCGACAGCCCCAAACCCTAAACCCTAAACCCCTAACCCCTTAAGCAAAGGCCGTGCGTTTAGCGACCATGTAGGGTTGGGGGCGGGGAAGAAACATGTGTCTCAGACTCTGAGCCCTGCAGCCCTGGGCCTTATAAGTCACTGCAAGCCCAACAGTCCCCGTGAACCTGCGGTGCATCTAAAGCCCGAATTTCCTGTAGTTCCTCAAGCCGACAGCCTCAACCTTGAGTGGTCCCTCCCAGTCTCAACATGCGTTGCAGGAAGAGCAACGGTAGCACATCGAAACTCTTACTGCCAGCTTTAGTCAGCTTGCTCAAGATATGCCCTTCCCTGTGCAATGTCGCCTGGCTCGAGTACAACTCTGGCCAGGAATCAGGCGAGTCCATTGCTATGGCAGGATTGGTCTCCTGCCCATTGCCACTTCGGTGCAAGCATGAACCGGGTGCATTCGCATCTTGTATGTATGTATGTATGTATGTATGTATGTATGTATGTATGTGTGTGTGTATGTATGTGTGTGTATATGTGTATAGGTCCGTCGAAGCCCCCAGGCCTAGGCGTTTCGGGCACCTCCTTCTTATCCCTGCAGACCCCTCTAAGGCATTGTGCTGGAACCCCCGTGCACCCCATCCCGGTACAGCCCCTGTAGATTCTTGGCGGGGAACCTCCTAACACCCACTGTGGACCCCCATGGAACCCTCCACGGCACCGACGGCCCTCCATGGCATTCTGGACGGAACCGTGTTCAACCCATCCCTCCTACGAACCCCCTAATGCACCCCCCTAAAGAACCGGCACTCAGCTTCGTCACCCGCCAGCACCTGAGAAATCGCGACGCCTGTCCTTGTCGCCAGCACATTCCTTTACAGCTACTTGTATTCGAAGTAACGCTACAGAAAAGGCAACGAGCTGCCCACTAGGTAAGTTCTACCCAGGGCGCTTGAGATTTAATTCTAGCCCTTTTGAGAGCAGACACAATCAGCTAGAGGTGTATGGACGTGCTCGCACGTAGTCTGTGAGTATCCCGGGTACATATGTTGCACCTATGGTATGGTAAAGACTGCTCCATTTGGCGTGACGACATGCTACACACATTTTCCTGATCGAGCACTTGTGCAGCACTACTTCTTGACTCAAAGCTGCCTGATGCTGGAAGAAGTGGTTGTTCACATGGACGAAGGCCTCCCTGTTCTTGCGCTGGACCTGCAGCAGGCACGCAAGCCCACGGTGCTTGAAACCAACAAACTTCGTCCTCGCGTGCCGACCGGTGCAGTCCATTCATCAAATCCTGGTCCTCAAAATACGAGGCAGTACAGCACACGCCTCAGTGAACTTCTTCATCGCCAGCGTGCCGAAGAGCTGCAGCGTCTTCCTGATGTCTGGACTACCCTTTCCCATGGCTGGCACGACCCAATGCTGGACGGCGACCCCGAAAGTCCCTCAAGTCCACACCCTCCAACCCAAGCGCTCATACTTACAACTAGCTGATTGCATGACACTACTCAAAAGTAATCCCTGGGTCCTACACCATACCGACGAGAACCGTTGCCGCCTCAACAGGCGACATCAGCTTCATGCCACCTGTAATGCCCCATTTTCGTATTTCGTGCCCTCCCCGGACATTTCGTACAACCTTTACACCGTAGCCCCAACATACTAGCCCGAATACTGCTATGTTTTTGCGTGGCCTATTTAAGCCAAGGGAAGGAAACTATGTAGGGTCCAGGGTCTAGGGCTTCGGGCTTAGGATTTAGGGTTTAGGGTTTATAAGGCTAAGATACACACAGCCAGGAGGCTGCCAGTCTCGCAGCCCAAGCTCCGAAATGTGCCTTGGCTTGGGTTTAGGGTTTAGGGTTTAGGGGTTTAGGGTTTAGGGGTTTAGGGTTTAGGGGTTTAGGGTTTAGGGGTTTAAGGTTTAGGGTTTAGGGTTTAGGGTTTAGGGTTTAGGGTTTAGGGTTTAGGGTTTAGGGTTTAGGGTTTGGGGTTTGGGGTTTAGGGTTTAGGGCTTGGGGCTTAGGGCTTAGGGCTCTTTCGACTTTTGGGTGCCTCCAGGGTGCAAGAATCCCAGGGGCGTGCCAAACAGCGGCACCACCTGGGCGCTGAAGGAGAAGCTCCCTACCATCTGTGATCATCTGGGAGCTTACGAAAAAAGACCCCCAGAATAGACCCCCGAATAACCGGATCCCCTTATTTATAAGGACCCCAAGGAGGTAGCCTGAATATTAATATCGTAAACCCCCCATCTAGAGTCTAGAGGGCATGAGGTTTAGAACAGGGCGGCAGCACATTCCCAAGACAGCCGCCCCAAAAAAAGCATCAAACCTCGAGCCACCAGGAAAGTCTAGCTAAACCGCAACCCCTCAACCCAAAGAATGAGAAACATTGTCCCTCTTTGAGTTGTGAAGAACTGTCTAAACCTAAACCCCCAACCCTAAACACTAAACCCCGATGCCCAGGGTACTCTTAATCCATCATTTTGGGGGCATGCTAGGGTCCCTAAACTGTAAGTCGAAACCCAAAACCCCCAAGATCTGAAAACCTAAGCCCTCTCGCCACAGACCCCAAAAGTTTCTCAACACCCCAAACTCCCGAGAACCCTAAAGAAGAGCCCCAAAAAAAGCCTTAAAACACGAGGCCCAAACGGCCGAAAGCATTTGTAACAACTCCCAGAACCAAAATATTTTACTTCGAACATCCCCACCCTCTCTTGGTAGAGATACTCTGGGGTTGGGCACTCCAGGGAGACTCTGGGGATGGGCACTCCAGGGAGACTTTGGGGCTGGGCACTCCGGGGTTGGGCACTCCAGGCAGACTCTGGGCCACTCCAGGGAGAGGGCACTCCAGGGACACTCTAGGGTTGGGCACTCCAGGGACACTTTGGGGTTGGGCACTCCAGGGATGAGCGAGGAGTAGACCGGGCGAGGAGAAGAGTTCCAGGCGAGGAGAAGAGTCCCGGGCGAGGAGAAGAGTTGAATTTAAAATCTAACAACCCCACACCGAGGGTGGGGAATAAACTCCTAAGGCCCTACCTTGCCCGGCCTTGGCATCTGCGGGCGCAGTGCAACGAGGCCAGGGATGCTCAGCCCAGCGCCTTACGGGTCCTGAAAAGCTGTTTATGGTGACCTTGTGAGTTTGGGTTTAGGGTTTGGGGTCGAGGGTAGTGGGTTCCACGACTGGTGCTCCCTTCTGACCGTCTCTCTATCACTCTAAGCCAGAAACCAGATCAACAGAATCCCAGATCCCACCATGGCGCCAATCGCCAACTCGTCCGTGCTGGCTGGGGGTAGCAGAAGCTCCTTGCTGACAAGAGGTCCCATACCCCAGCACGTCTCGCTTGTTTAGGGTTGAGGCTTCAGTGTTCAGGTGTGGGGTTCAGGTGGCATCATGCGGATTTGAATTTCTGCATGCCTGGCTCAGTGCAAGTCCGTCTGGCTTTGGATCTGGGAGCCCGGGCTTGGAATTTGCATGGCATCGTCTGTGCTCTGGAGACGACCTGGGCAACAAACGCTTTCATTGCTGCGGGGCAGACTGAATTCAGACCATGCAGAGCCCACGTGCCTCAAAAGAGTACCTGCGCCGAAGGTAAACGCCAAAGCCCAAACTTGTACAGACCCTGCAAGCAAAGACACAGTGAAACCCCAAGTCATCAACATATGTCACATACCTAATTTATGGCTGACCCTTACAAGGGTCGTATCGAGTAACGTCGTATCATGACAGGGACCCAATGATTTGCCACTGCTTAAAAGCCTGGCCATCTATTAGCCGAAGAGCGGAGCTGTTCTCTGGGCTGATCTCCACAGCCACTTCCAAGAATTGCAGGCACGTGTCCGCGTCATCTTTAAACGCGTAAGCCCGCCGCAGGTAGTAGTCCTCGGGCCGGGGAGTCGGTCCGTTTCAGGCGTCAACCTTCAACCTGAGCGTCCTCCACCTCGAACATCAAACTCCTACGTCTTCGGAGATCTCCGAAACTTCCCCAAACTCTTTCAAAGCTCTGAGCCAAAGGTTCGCTCCGCGCTGCGGCGTAAGCCTTGTTTGGACATCTGCAGGCTTCTCCATTTCTGTTTTTGTAATTTTTTTGTTTGGGGGGGGGGGGCTTGAGCTGCTCCGTTGCAACCGCTCGTCGCCCCACAGGCCGCAAGACCCTTGACCGAGATCAAGGAGTAAATGAAATAGATATTCATATATATATATATATATATATGCAGATATATATATATATATATATAGAGAGAGAGATTTATGAACATATTTATGCTATCATACAAGATACTGCAAATTTTGCATAACTAGCATTATGTGGTCACTCCTTATACATATATATATATATATACATATATATATATGTACATACATATATACATATATATATATATATATATGTCGTGTATATTTGTTTGCCTATTGCACCAGCGAAGACCCCAAACAGTTAAGAAAGGAATGGTGTGTTCGCCGACTACAGCGCATACTGGCTTTACCCCACCAGATAAAGCCCTAGACTTCAAAGGGCTCAAATATACGGGAATGACAGAGGCCGCTCCTGGCGAGGACTTGGAATGGATATGTTCACCCTGCTAACAGATGGGAGTTGGAAGCCAAAGAAGATTCCGATCTTGGTCAGTACATTGCAAACATATACGTGACAGCAATCCCGTGAATCAAGAGGGTTGCGGTGCCATGCACACATGCTCGGCGTGCGCGCGTTCTGTGCGCACTCGCGCGCCTGGCGCGTCCTGCACCCACGCGCATTCCTTCCCACGTGCAGTGTGTCACGCCCAATGTGCCCATCAGTGCTTGAGGGGTGAATGTTGGGCCAACATTCACGATTGAGGGGTGGACGTTGCATGTATGTAGATGTCTATGTCTATGCATATGTATATGATATGCTTATGCATATGTATATTTATTACCCATTATATTTGTATTCCTACATGTTTTACATATACAGTCCATTCAACGCAATTCCGAGGCTTGAGAGGGATCCCAAACCACCCATGCCCCTGCTCAGCCTGGCGGTAGAAGAACTTGTCTACCTGTGGCTCCTGCAAGTGGCGCTTGGACATCCGGGGCAGAAATCTTGTGAAGGGGGCCAGAGCCGAGGACGAGTGGTTTTGTTCCACTAGGACAATTCCCTTATGATCTACGGCGGCCCCCGTGCCACCCACTTGTCATTGAGAAACCCCCCTTCCCGAACCTCCTCAGCGACCTGTTCTTCGGATGCAATTGCGGAGCGTCACCATTTGGGTACTTTAAGTACCTTTGCTGAAGACTGTCGAGCCTGGCCATGTCCAAGAAGGAAGCTCGCAGCCAGCAGCCAGTGACACTTCATGGCGCTTCGCGGGAGACGGAGCTGCAGAAGTCTAAGGCTTCTGCTTACGAGCTCTTAGTGAAGGGTGAAGAAGAGAAGGTGAGGGCTCCTTTAGGGGACTCTACAGGGTACCGAAATCCCTCATTCCCTAGCAGGAGCCAGTAAGTTAAAGGTGCCTATAGGCATTCGTCTATGGGCCACAGTCTGATTCGCGTCCTTCATGGCTCCTGCTTGGGCAGCTCCGTTTTTGCAGCCGCCCAGTGATCCACTGTTGCTTGTTGCAGGTAAAGTCTTCAAGTTGCAGCCATGGGCCATGATCCAATTGACTGTTGGAGCCGGGGCTCGACAAGAACTCGGCTTCTGAACACAGGCTGCAGTGGCTACGATGCGAAGGAGCTGGCGGAAGCATCAATGCACCAACACCTCGCTCTTGTGCTTTGCCAGCTCGCTTTCGTAGCCTCGACAAGCAACATTCATGCTTCCTCCACCTGTAGCAAAACCTCCGATCAGAAGGCCAGAAGGTAACCGTGTAACCAAAGCTGAACGGGCATGTGGGTAGTTCTCTAAGTCTGGCTTAGTTCCTTTTGAAGGGGTCCCATACATGGCACGGCACCCTTGCAATACGCACCCACAAAGGGACCCCAATTTAGAGAACGACTCGCGTGTCTGCAGAAGCTAAGCCCTCAGCGCTCGCGCTCGGCAGCCTGGGAAGTGAAGAGGCTGACTTGGGCGGGACATGTGATGCTTCGTGCAGCGCCAAGCTGCCATGTATTCGTCCAGCTTCTGCTGCTCCCTGAGGAGTGCTTCCTGCATCTTGGGAAATAGAGCATCCTTCTGTGGATACCAGGCACTGCCTCCTAAACTGTGAACACTTACTGGTGCGAAGCTCACAAGGATGCCCACGATGCCTCCTTGCTCCTCTCGCTAGCTGCGGCCATTGCATCCTGCTTCCAGTTGAGGAAGACTGTCTGCATCACCTGAGCGTGTGAACACTTGTGCCTGAAGCCCATGACCGTCCTAATCCCTGCAAGGATGACAGTTTCCGGGCTGGTGTCCTGAAAGCACCCAAACTTTGGACACCGGCTACTCGACAGATGTGCAGCTGCTTTACATGTAAGTCTCAGACCAAGCATGCTTGCAGACTCCGTTTACCACTGCACAGCATCCTGGGAAGCAGACACCCTTCGCGTCGCCACGAGCCTCAGAAGAAGCAAATAAACAACCCGAAGCCCTGGAGTCAGAAGATGGTGTTAGAATAGACCTTGCCAGATCTTGCCAGCTGTCAAGGGAAAGCGATAAATACTCTAATCTACCGAGCCGACTCCAAGACTACCATTCTCCAGGCGACCCATTTCGCCAGCGACATGTGGACCGCATTCAGCTTCTTCTCCGACTGCAGGGCTCAAAGCTTCAAACATTGGTCCCTGCAGTCCTTCTTCAGTGTGTGCGTGAGAAGTGCTGGGGATGCTCAGATCGGTATTACCATAAAGCCTTTAGCATGGGTTCTCAGCAGCACCCTGGACTCCCATTGGCCTCAGCCTTGCGGAGGCTCCACTTGGACCACACCTTAAGCATCTTTGCGAGACCAGACTCAGCTACATGCATCTAATTGGATGCGCCAGATGTTGCCAGCAACGTCGTGGAGTCTGTGCAGACCGACGCAACAATGCGCATCGGCTCCGCTCATGCCAGGCAGAGAGCCACGTTCTGACGAGGGGCACGCGGCAACTGAGGTCGGCACATGGTAGACCTGGTTCTTGAGGCCAGCAGTATCTCCCAGAAGCCACTTTTTCACCACCAACTCCACCTCGTGGCATGATAGGCGCGGTGAATCTGAGTCTCGTCCAGCGCTACCGAAAAGAGCGTAGCGGGGCTCTTATCTTGGTTTCGTGCTCCAAAGGAAACTAACCCCAAGCCTGGCGTATCATAGAAGGACAAGACTGAGACCCGCTTCCATCTGTGAAGGATTCAACGGGGGAGGGCTAATTCCACGATTCGGCCCAGTCACAGCTTTGTGAGCTGCATCGATCTTCATGGCATGCTTGTCCAGCTGCTTCTGGCACCATAGGGAGCTTCGAGGCTTGCCTAGAGGCTTTCAGGACCTTCAGGAGGTTTCGAGCACTTGTAGTGCCCGAAAGAAGGCTTTTTGTCCCCGTTTCTTCTCGCGGCACGTCAGGGGCCATCTTTGGGAACCGCCGGCGCACACGGGAAAGTCCGTGAGGCACGGCGTCTCAGGGTGACTTCTTGGGGAACAGGCGGCGCACGGGGAAGAGCGCGGTATAGACCACAAGGCCGATACCTGTGCGAACCATGGACACGGACCTCCTGCCTCGTTAAACATCTCTATGGCTCCGGCTGATGCTTCGGGCGGAAGGGGGGGGGGGGGACCTTCCGCTGATCTTTGATGACTTACTGCTAAGCCCTGAGTCCCGAAACCCCTAGGCCCACCCAAGCCCATATCCCAAGCCACTCCCCCAAAAACGAAGAGAATAACAGAAAGGCTCGCATGCAGGATGTGTTCTCACAGAAAGTATCTCCACATGACGTTGTCTGCCAGGCGGCCAAAGCCCTTCGTGGGGTCGGTAGTGCCTTGGCATCCAGCAGACATAAAAAGAGTCCTTGCTTCAATCCTTTTTCGACAGAAGCAAAGAAAGCCTGTGGACTGTTCATTTCGAAGGTGGGTATGCTGCACACTGCTAGGCGGTGGGATCAGCTCAGGAAGCAGGACAAACTGACGCCCCAAAGCCCAAGCACCGAAGGGGTGGCAGACTCACGTCACCACCCCCCGGCCCCAAACTGCCAAAGAGCATGCAAGAGCACGAGCTTTTGCCGTACCGGTGCCAATAGTATACTCATGTCGAAACACGGTAATCCTGCAGTTCAACTTGGTGCTGCCGTCCTCACCCGAACTCCCGAAGTTAAGCCGACCAAACCGCTCCCCAAGGTTGGGTTTCTGACCAATTTGACCCTGTTGGAGTCTTTGTTTACAGCACGGACCCTTAGAACTGGGGAATACCCATCAACTGACCACATAGTGACATAGTAACGTAGCACACCCCAAAAAACCCAAAACCCTGTTGTTGACTCAGGCCCAGTTGCAGGTGGCTGCCGCAGTGGCCCAGCCGGCCAAGGCCTGCACTTCAGAATCAAGTTCTTATGTTGATATACTATTGTATTATTACATTACTACGTTATCATACTTTCATATTACACTAGAACTCTACATGTACAATGTTATGCTATTGCTGAATTATTTGACTGCTGTTGCTGATCATACTATTTTAGTCTATCATTGAAGTGTATCACTATACTATTTTGTTATTTCTGCTGCATAACTTTGTTCTATTGTTATATCATGATTGTTCTGTCATTACACTACATCATGTTGTTGTAGGGTGTGGGGTTTAGGATTGTAGAGCTTGAGAGGACTTGCGAGCGTTCGCCCTTTCCTCCTTCACGACGGCGCCTTTTACATCCGCGGTG